AACCCTAACCCTAATCCATGTTGGTGATTTTGGATCCATTTTAGTGTTTTGGTGGCTAGAAGAAAAAGAAGGAGAAGTTCTTGTGCGCATTTTGGACCATGGTAAGTGTCCAAGATCTAATCTTTATGAGCTCAAACTGCTAGATCTAATTTCTAAGCTCCTTTTTGCATGTTTATGATGGATTGCATGCTTGGGATCCATAAAGTTGGCAACTTTATGGATCAATGAGTCATTCTCTGTGATTTAGTCTTATGGATCTAAAGTATGGTTATAATTTATGAATCTTGATTGAGTTTGGGGGCTATTTCTTATCATTTTGACCTAAAATGGGTTTAGGACATGATTGGGTCATGCACGTCCATCAAGTAATCGTTTTTATTGGCCTTTGGAGTCCTTGTTAGCTTCTGGAAGAATTAGGATTCAAAGCTTAATGGATTAAGGACTTAAAAGTTGGATTTTTAGCCTTAGACTGTTCTCACGACGTGAGAAGCGTTTGGTCCCATTTCTGGTTATCTGATTGAGGCTCACGACGTGCGAAGGCTTCTCACGACGTGAGGGCAGCCCCGTTGACTTTCTTTTGGCTAAGTTGCCTAGGTTGAGTGATGATGAGGTGGGATCTAATTGAGTGAGCTCTCACGATGTGACCATGGCTGGTCACGACGTAAGATGTGGTTTTTGGTCTTGTTGGGCCATTTTGGGTTTTGAGTTGCCATCTTGGGCTTTTGTGTGATTGGGTTGGGCCTTGGTCTTGGGCCAAATAAGAAAAGAGTAAAATGGTCTTTTACCCTTTTGGAAGTGGATGTATGGAGTGGGCCTCAGATGTTGGATTATCGGGATAATTACTGATTAATATTGTATTTTGTTAGTTGACGCGAGGTTATCCGGTTCAGCAATCCAAACAGACATTTGATTATCCACGGATTGATATGAGTCCTTCTTCACTGTACTTGCGGGTCGAAAGCACCAAGGCCGACCCTTTCGATTTGATATCCTGTTATATGTCTGTAGACTATTTATATGTTTATCTTTTATATGGGCACATATTGTTGGTGGTTGAAGCTTTACTGCTTTGTGCATGAGCCAATAGATCGGGGGCATTCCAACCCGATGGTTGATTAGGCCGAGGGTATTCCATCCCAAGGATGACTGGACCCGTTCTATATATTGACATTCCAACCTGGGGTATTCCATCTTGATGGATGACTGGACCCGGAGGTTGACTGGGCCTAAGGGTATTCCAACCTGATGGTTGATTGGACCAAACATACTTATGATACGAGGGTATTCCATCCCGAGGATGACTGAGCTCATCGTATACTTGCCTGGCATTCCAGCCCGATGCTGATTGGGCCAGACATGAGTATTTATGCATGCGATTTGTTTGTGTGGTGGTATTTTGGAGGAACTCCCTAAGTTTCGTGCTTACAGTTTTGATTTATGGTTTCAGGTACTTCGGATGACCGTGGGAAGGCGAAGGTGTGACTATACACATCCTTGGTTTTACGATTAATTGAATCTTGGGAGACTCTGATTTTAAATAATTTTTTGGAAACAATGATTTTGTAAACACTTTTATTAGTAAATGGGTTGTTTGAAAGGTTTAAATTTGTTGAAAATTTTGCGATGTTACAGATTTACGAGACTATTTCTGTAGATTTACTCTAGACCATCTTCTATGGAATTATGAAACTGGATGCAAGAAATATTCCAAGATAACAAAAATACAAGGGTTTTTAAAAAAAATAAAGTTGAGGTTTAATCCAAGAAAATAAATAAATGTAAGGGCTAAATCAACAAACATAAAATAAAAATGTAAGACATAAATAGAAAAATAAAAATTGTAAGTGCTAAATCATGAAAAACAGAAAAAGAAATATATAAAAAAAATTTCAGGAAAAAAAATAAAGTTGAAATTCAATGCTGGCTAATGTTTTTTTTTTTTTTTTTTTTTGGATTAATCCATAAATAAATATATCTTATCTGTTTCAAAAAATAGTTGGAATTTTAAATTTTAAAAAATAAAAATTTTAATGTTAAAACTTGATACAAGTCTATTTTAAAATTAGGTACAACTTTGGATTTACCAAGTTATATAAAGTTTATACTTCAAACTTGTCAAACTCCCGGAACATTCATGCCAATAAAAAATTACATTGTTTATATATTAAAAGTTGACTCGTCCTCAATTGCTTGTCAAACAATAAAATTTATAATTAAGATCTTAGGCTGAAGTATGCAAATCATATTCTTTACTCAAGAAACGTTATGCTTGTCTCTTCCGTATTAGTTGCACAATCAGTTGACTACATATAGCATACCTAAACATATAACACAACATGTAAATTAATTAAACATTAAAAGTTTAATTAATTATTTGAGATATCTTATCAATACAAAATAATTATTATCGATATCTTATAAAAGATACCTAATACAAATAGGGGTGATAAAAAAACTAATCAAACTAAATGTTGTTTGATTTGGCTTATTTGGTTATTGGTTAATTCGATTTGATTAACCGAATAATGTTATTTTATTCTGTTTAGTTTTGGTTGAATTCTTATTATTTTGGTTAAACCGAAAAATCAAATAAAACAATATATTTATAGTTTATATGTATGAATTAATATTTTGTACATAAATTTATAGATTAGTTACTGAAAAAGATTTTAAAAATTAATTATTTAATTATTAATGATTATAAATTTATAAATGTTTTATAATTTATATTAAAAAACAAAAACCAGTTACCTAAATGTAAATTAACTCATGGTTAATTCTTTAAATTAACTCATGGTTAATTATTTCACATTCATGTACAATTAATATTGTGTCTCGATTATTCAAAACAACACTTCATGAGAGACTAAATATAATATGTTATATATTAATGTATTTTCTTCATTTGGTGAAAGTTTAGTAAGTTTTTATTCGTTTAGTTTAATATTTAGTTTACGTGTGAAATTTTATTCGGTTTAACCGGTAAACTGAACTGTATAAACCTTAACCGAATAAACCGAAACCGCTTAAACCAAACATTATTTGGTTTGGTTATAGTTAGATTTAAGATATAAAACACCAAAAAAAACCAAACTGATTTAACTAAAAAACGAAAAAAACCAACCGAATAACACATCTAAATACAAGAATAAAAAAAAACATATATTGCTTAGAATATCACAATATGATCATTGTCCATCACAATGTACTTGGGATAATCGTCTAACAAATAATGATTGTAACATGTGGGATGGTATTGTTATTCTATTTTTGTACTTTATTCACTTTTATGAGCCTATTTATTCTAAGTACTTATATGAACAATTATTCAATGCAAGAATGAAAATTTGCTATTTTTACCAAGCAAATTAAATTTTTATGGATACAAAAGATCCTCAATTTGTAAGTTATCACCGATTAGATCTCAGTAAATCAATGTCACTATGATATAAGCCCCTAGAAATTACACGTAATGCAGTTGGTTGCCGAATAATAGTTACACAAATAGTTAAAAGTTCAAATCTTAACAACCACAATATAAAAGTTTTATTTCCAATTCATACTATATTTTTTGGCATTTAAACAACAATGAATCTAACACGATACTTCTTAAATGAGATAATATACTAATAATCACATGAAGAATACTTCGTTAGCCAAAAAAAAAAAAACAGTAAGTAAGAACACTGATACGTATATTTGAACACGTTATAATCATTTTTTTACAAGAAAATTACATAATCCATACTAAAAACATAACATCCAAAAACCAGAAATGACTCATAAATCTGGTTTCATAATATATAGAAAGTGTTCATGACTCCATGATAGGGTACTTGAAATGGCAAGTCTTCTCCAATCGTATTCACCTTAAAAAGAAATGTAAACTCATCCAAAGTCACTTCCACAGTTCAAGTGGCCATGATCAAATATTTTTGGTAATATTAGAAAGTGCACAGGGGTATTTTCGTCAGATAAAAAGTTCTCTCTCATCGCTTACAATATATTTATTTACTAAATTCGTCATCATCATCTAGAAATACTCCACCATTCAACGTTCAACAAGAGTCGGACTCTCTCTTTTCCTCTCTCTCTCTCTCTCTCTCTCTCTCTCTCTCTCTCTGAAAAATAATAAAGTCTTTGAACAATCCGAAAATCTAAAGGTATGTTTTGTTGAAAAAACTTTGTACTATCAATTCAATGTTCCAATCATTTTCCCCGATTTTGTTCTTCATATTTATACATGATTTCTTTAGTATTTGATGGATTTCTGATTGATTTAACAAGATTCGGGGTATATTTTGTTTGACTAGTTTGATGATTCATGAATTTGGGTAGATGGGGTTGTGTTAAATCATGTTAATTTAGTATCATATGCCTTAATTTCAAATCTTGTATTGATAATTTCTTCTGTTATCATAATTAGGCTTCTTAATTCATATATATCGGCACAAAAGGATTTGTTTTGAAGAACATGAATAACTTCTTCTCTTTCTTCTAATTTGATGATTAGGATTTTGTTTTTTCATCTTTGATTTAATAAAGTTAATTTGGCTTTACGTTTCTCTAAATACGCGTTTTCCTGGCCGATTTTATCAATAGAAAACAATGCAATTTTTTTTTTAGTTGTAATTATCCCCATTAAAATTAGGGTTCTTTAGGATCATGGTACTATAATCCATTTCAACAATTTTCATCCATATCAAAATTACCACAAGGGTTTTAATTTAGATAATATTTGATCCTTTTTATAGCAGTATTTCACTATTTCTTATACCATGATGCTTCTAGATGCCTGTATCATTACTCTTCCATATATTCGAGATTTATTAATTATCTTTCGTCATCTGCAAGCTTCTCATTTCTCGAATCTTTTTGAATTCAGGAACAACAGCTATCGTTGAAGCCAATTTTATCGAATCAGATACCATGCACGCGATCTAATCGATATACCAAAAGTTAAAATTTTGCCACTTGATTCGCCGATTTTCTTACATTAAATGCAAACATCCCAGAAACCTCGAAGCTCAGGAGCTGCCATTCACCAGTTGTATCACCAATCAGACCAGATCGAACCCTTCCGTTTAACCGGCTCCCCTTTCCAAATCTTGAACAACAATGGCTACCCCGGTGACACCCTCACCAGCCGCCACCAAGAAACCGCCATTGTTTCCGGCAACGCCTTCAACGACCAATTCTTCACGTTGGAATCATCACCAGCCCTAGAAATCTACAATTCACCATTCACCAGCGTCTCATCAAACACCAGGAGCCCATTTTCCCCACAAGGCTCTTCCCAATCATGCGTATCCAATCTCCACAACTCATCACCGGAAAACACATACGGGTCACCCATCAGCAATGAGCAATTTATAAGAGATGTGGCAATGGAACTACTTGGAGAATCCGATTTCGAAGATGGGTCAATCACAAGCTCATTTCAAAACGTCAATAAGAACAATAAATTGCTCCAAATTGGAATTTCAAATCTTGATTTGAAACAAACCCTCATCTTATGTGCTCAATCGATGGATGATGATGGAGCTAAAGAAATCACCGAAACTCTCATGGAACATATTCAAACCAAAGTTTCAGTAACCGGTGACCCGATTCAACGATTAGGTGCCTACATGCTCGAAGGCCTTCGCGCCCGAAAACTCTCCTCGGGATCCGCAATTTACAAAAAACTAAAATGCTACGAACCAAGCCCAAAAGATCTCATGTCCTACATGTCAACCCTCTACGAAATCTGCCCGTATTACAAATTCGCGTACACATCAGCAAACGTTGTCATCAAAGAAGCATTCCAATACGAAAACCATGTCCACGTCATCGACTTCTTAATCGCACAAGGCAGTCAATGGGTCCAACTCATTAAAGACCTGGCTCGGCGGCCTGGCGGACCGCCGAGCCTACGAGTCACCGGCATTGACGACGGTGACTCGTCTTATGCGCGAGCCGGCGGACTCGACAAGGTCGGCCAACGGCTCGCGCAGGTCGCAGTGGAGAATGGGGTTCCGTTCGAATTCCATGCGGCTGCAATATCAGGAAGTGAGGTTAATTGGGGGAACCTTAGGGTTCGCCCAGGTGAAGCCCTAGCGGTTAACTTTCCTTACATGTTGCACCATATGCCGGATGAGTCGGTTAGCACGGTTAACCATCGTGACCGGTTGATACGGTTGGTTAAAAGTTTGTCTCCAAAAGTTGTTACGCTTCTCGAACAAGAATCGAACACGAATACTTCCTCGTTTTCAAAACGGTTTAAAGAGGCTCTTGATTATTACACGGCTATGTTTGAGTCGATTGATGCGAAGCTACCGAAGAACATTGAGTTACCACGGGGCGACAGGCGGAGGATTAGTGCGGAGGAGAATTGTGTGGCTCGTGATATGGTGAATATAGTGGCGTGTGAGGATACGGACCGGGTGGAAAGACATGAGCCGTTGGCTAAGTGGCGGTTTCGGTTTCAGGCGGCTGGGTTCACGGCTAGCCCGGTTAGCCATGCGGTGGTTCAAGCGGTTCAAGGGGTTTTGAGTGAGTATAGTGAGGGGTATAGGCTTGGTGAGAGAGATGGTGCTCTTGTTCTTGGGTGGAAGAATCAGCCGATGGTAACTTGTTCTGCTTGGAGGTGATTAGTAATGATTAGGGTTAATTTTGTGTAGGATTGAAGATGTATAATAATAATAATAATAACATGTATTATTACACACTGGTTTTGTATTAAAAGATATTTGAGAGTTTATTTGTGCATGTAATGTCTTGTGTTTTTGTTTGAATGGTAATCGACACTTTAACATGTTGTGTATTTGATTTACATGATGTATTTTTTTTTATGAGTCAATAGTTAGGATCGTGCAACATTCAATGCCTTCGAAGCTTTCCTTGTGTATTTGTTACGATTTATTCTGATATTAAAAACTTTTGGTTGTTAAGGCCATCGGGTGTGGCGAGCATTTTGACGTGAAGAGATGATAAGGAGGGGGGTTCTTACGCATGAACACTGTCTCCATGCCCGTAGGCGTGTTGTGGATTGATGCCCATGACCTGGTGTTTCAACCAATCGTTTCATTCTTTTTAAACGATCACTTTTGACTCGTTAGAAATTAAAAAAAAAATTAACTTTTTAAACTAATATAAATACCACACATTTTAACATTTCAAACCACAAAATACTTCACAAAACTCTATACTCCTATTTTTTTTTCTTAAAAATATAGAGCACAATCAAAATGCCTCTACCACATCAAACACCCCAACAACCCTAAACACTCCAAATGATCAATATCAAAGTTAGATTCAAATGCTAACATCCCAAATCCAACAACAACCTCTATTTACCAACATTCAATTTCAACCAAACTACTTTCAACAACAACAACCACAACAATTCAATCCACCATACTTTCATGGTTTTCAACAATTTCAACCTCAACAATTCCAAACACAATTATCTCAACAATTCCAAACACAATATTATCAAGTCACTTTTTCTTAATCTCCACCTATAAACCTGGACAACGACGACGACGACCGAGTCGAAGAAACACAACCATCTAGGCGAAGGAAACCAAAAGGAAAAACTACAATAAAAGATGAATGACATGGATCGAAGAACAGGAGGAAGATTTAGCTAAAGCTTTGATTTATATATTGTGTGACTCGAGGACGGGCAACGCGCAAACGGGAAACAACATTTGACTTCGTGTTTTAGATCACTTTCACTCGCTTTTGGAAAGGCAAAGGGGCTGAACGTACGACGCAGTCAATAAAAAATGGCATGAACTACGAGCGGCGTGCATCAAGTTTAAAGACATATTTGAAAATCTTAAAATATGCATAAAAGTGGTAGCAACGATTCCAAGATTTTATCAACCGCTTGCCAAAAATTCAAAGTTACCAACGATGGTAAAATGTCCGGCCACCAGAAAACATGGAAAATTTTTTGTAACGGTCCAAAATGGGTCTTTAACCTAGAGACTTCGCATGTAGAATCGATCACCGACTCCAAAAAAAGGCCAAAAGCTTTCGAATCCAATGTGGGTATTGGTGTCGACCTTAATGACGACTTCGATGGGACCTAAGGGGAGGGTCCACCAGAAGTTCAACTTCATCGACCACCAAGAAAATTTAGCCGAATTTCCAACAACAAGTTCAGGATAAATATGGAAATTATCTTTTAACGTTTTTAATGTTTATGTTTAATTTATATGGTTTTTATGTATTTAGGTTTTAATTTTTATGTTTTTATGGTTTTTAGTAATCAAGATATGAAATTTCATGTTTTATGTTTTATGTTTTTTTAGTAATTTAAGGTCTAGTGTGTTTTTATGTAATGTGAAATATTTAATTATGTTATTAATTTAGGTTTTTTTTTTTATTTTTTTTATAGTTTTAATATAAATATATATTTAAAAAAACATTGTTGAGTGATAACCATTTCCAAAACTTGTGAACATATAGTAAACGTGTAGTGGGTGTAATATGATGCATATCACTTTTTTAGTGAATAACTAATGAGGATACCGATGGCCTAATAGGGGTGACAATCATCGATCCAACTCGTAATCCGATACTGACCCAACACTAAAATTAACGGGTTTGGGTTGAGATTTTTAACACGCTAACCTACCAACATGCCAACCCGTTTATTTCATGGGTTGGGTTGGGTTACCTGTTTGGGTTCGCAGGTCAACTCGCCAACCCGATTATATATATATATATATATATATATATATATATATATATATATATATATATATATTTGATTATCGTTTCATCGTTTTTCGAAATCCAAAACTGCAAAACATCTTCGAGTCGACTTAGCGTCCCTTAACCCCTAAGAAGCTCATAATCAAAAAAGAAATTCGGTCTTCAGTCTCCAAACACACGACTCCGTGTCTCCCATCTTCGTCGATTGTGGCATTGTGTCATCGACTGTTGCACGCACGCACATCACTTATCTTCTTGTCATTCGGTTGTGGCTCACCACTCGTCGTCATCACTCCTGTTTATGAATTTATATTGAATAATTAAGACTTTATAACTTTATATTATTTGTATTTTTTAATTTCATTTTAAAATATGTTACTTATTAAATATGTTATACTGGTTGGGTTCTACTCACTAACCCACAAACTCATATACTTGTACGGGTTATATATGAGTTGGGTTGATGTCTTCAACCTGTCAACATGTGACCCGCCAACCCACCAGCCTATATATTATATTTGTTGGTTTGGATTAATGTATTCTGACATACCAACCTGCCAACTTATAACCCACCAATCCGAACTCAATCCAATTGTCATGCCGTCTAATACTAGATAGTTCTAATCTAAGAAAAGAGAGAGAAATCGGTTACGTTCATTGAAGAGTTTAAAGAACTTTTTGACGCTGCCACATTTACGAGGGCTGTATATATTGTCGCCAAAAGTGGAAGCAGAGTTACTAGAAGTCAGCGACAACAATCTTTTTTTTTTTTTTTTATCGAGTATAAATGGTCCAAAACTACAGTAAGACCCGAAACTGGCCCAAAATAATGTTCCAAAAACAGCAACGAAATTCCACCTAAACGGCAACAAAATTTCAGCAAAAATCAACATTCAGGCTTTGATTACAAAGTACAAACCCGCAGAATGTTATTTTGATAAGTTTTTTGTTAAATGGAATTAATAGACAAATAAATCAAACTTGTAAATTACCACATAAATGACAAATGAGTAAATGTATCGACAAATCAAATTCTCGAGCTGTAACATTTTTTGTAAGATCGACAATGTAATATATATATATATATATATATATATATATATATATATATATATATATATATATATATATATATATATATATATTCAGGTTTATTTGAAACCATTCTAATTTTATGAGATCGTGAGACCAAATCTAAAAATAATTTTAAAATGCAAAATAAATGGAAAAATTCAAAAATTCTTTTTTTAAATATTATTTTCAGAACATGAATTAACTAAAAAAATAAAAAATAAATAAAAAAATCCCGTTATTTATTTATTTTTATTTTTTTAAATACGTGAAATATTCTAAATAGAATATTACACTGACATATTCTAAAAAATAATTTTAAAATGCCAAATAAATGGAAAAATCTAAAAATTCTTTTTTTAAATATTTTTTTCGGAACTTGAATTAACTAAAAAAAAATCATATTTTTTTTGAAAAATACGTGAAATATTATAAATAGAATATTACACTGTACATATTCTAAAAATAATTTTAAAATGCAAAATAAATGGAAAAATCAAAAAATTCTTTTTTTAAATATTATTTTTGGAATTTGAATTAACTAAAAAAAATAAAAAAATAAATAAAGAAATGCGTCTCACGGTCTCACAAAATTAGACCGTCTTATATGCACCTAACCCTATATATATATATATATATATATATATATATATATATATATATATATATATATATATATATATATATATATATATATATATATATATATATATATATATAAGTATAAATAAATAATAGAGTAAATTATAAACTTTGTTTTTAAGGTTTACTCAAATTTGGTCCAACTTTCAAAACATTTCCAAAGTTCTCCGTAGGTTTGATTTTCTTTGTATATTTTGTCATTGTGATTAACACCATAAAAAATAACAGTTAATTTTTCTTTTAGTTGATATTTTTTATTTCTGTTTTTTTATTGTTTTATATTGAGTCTCCGGCTACCAACACTTTGGTCATGTAAATCGAGGAATATCTTTGAAGAGACGAATGATTTCCGCCTTACGAAATGAATTTGGCTCTTGCTCAAATGTTCCACAAGAAAGCAACGAAAAAGGGTTATGAAGTCGTCAAGACCCTTAAGACGTTAAAACTGGAAGAATGGGAATTGGTGTGTGATCATTAGCAAAAGATGCAAATGAATATAAAGAGACTTGAAAACCTCAATGTAAATATCGACAAGGAGTTGGCCATTGGTATGGTCTTCAACTGCATAGTCCATTGCAAACTGCTGAAGCTGGAATGAAGAAGTGTCATTCAAACAGTTCTGCAAGTGCCTTGGTCATGCTTATTCAACAAGGAAAGGGAAAGAAAATGAAGGCTTATTCCCAACCCAAGTGGAAAGGGAAAGCCCACATCGGAGAGTCCAATGGTGGGTCAAAGGGAAAGGTAAACTTTGATACTCTTCCTATCGTTTCATTGTGTCCACAAGGGACATTGGAAGAGAAGTTGCCCTAAGTACCTAAAAGAAGTGAGAGAAAAAAAGGGCAAAGTGTTTGGCTCTGCACTCATATCTCAAATTCTTGGATCATTGATATAGGATGTGATTTCCATATTTGTTCTGATATGCAGAGACTAAGGGAAAATGAAGAGGTCAAGCATGGGAAGCCGAACCTAATCTTGGGGAATAGGCATATATTGATTGTTATCGGGATTGGGACTTTTGAGCTTATGTATGATGATAGTGTTAGGACTACTTTAGAAAATTGTTGTTATTCGTCGGAAATGACAAGAAACATAATTTATTTTTATGCTTTATTTAAACAAGGTTATCGTTATATGTTTGACAATAATGATGGCATGATTTTAGTTTATAAAAGTGGTGTTTTATATTCAGATCTTATCCTTGTAATGACGT